AGCGGGCAAACTCCCCACAAGGCAAACCCAAAGTTTTTCCCCCAAAACCTCCATCCGGGGGCTGTACTGGGCTTCCAGTAGGTCCTCGGCACAAGCCATGAAAGAAGCAACTGCTGCAACATCAAAACGCGGGTTTCTCTGGGTCACATTTTAAATACTTATCCCTGAGCTTCCGTGCGTTGCGAACAACACACCGTGAACCCAGAGAAACACCACAGCTTGATACTGACACCCCACGTATTACCTTCGATTTACACATCATCTACAACTTAAAAATTAGCTTCATACTTAAACTAGTTCCCCAAGTTTCCCCCTTTCTCCTGCCTTTTTATGTGGCAGGGATGATTGCCCCTTATTATCCTGAGAAATACAGAAATAACAACATTTTCACAGACACCAAGCTTCATAGCTTCAAATCAAAACCAAGAAAGAAGAAAGAATGAACGGGAAATAGCACATTCACAGGAGGATCTTTTTGTTGTTGTTGTTTTTAAAAACGTACTAAAGATAAAAGAAATTCAAGTGTTGTTATTTTTCTTTTTTAAAGGTTGGTTTGAAGGACAAGACTTAAAATCCTTAACCTGCTGTGGCTGCAGTTCTGTGCAGAAACCTGAAGAGCAAAGGATCCTGCCGCGCGTGGCGGAGGGAGGGACGGGCAGCGCGGCACTCGATGAGCTCGAGTTGCGCCGGCACCGGCGGGGCAGGGGCACGGCCCGGGCCCCCCCCGGCCAGCGAGAGCAGCGCTGCCGAAATGCCAGGGCGACTGGGAGCTCCGCGGGCACCACTCGCTCTGCGGGCACCACTGGCACTGCTCGCTCTCGTAGGCTCGCTCGAAGCAACACCAGAGCCCTAAGAAAACTGGTGCTGCTGGGGCAGTGGCTCGCCAGCACGGGCTGCCCCGCAGTTGGCCATCCCACGGACCGGTTTGCACCCATTGCTCTGAAAACGCCGCGTTCCCCCTTGCTCGCTCGAAGCAACACCAGAGCCCTAAGAATTACAGAAAATTCCAGAGCTGCACCCGATGGGTGGCTCAAGCAAGCGGTGCCCCCGCAGCTCTGCGGGCGGGCAGGCGGGAGGGGAGGAAGCGGAGTGCCCCGGGCGTTAGGAACGATTAGACAGCAGCTAACGTGGATGCAAAACGGCTGCAGAGTTTGCTCCTGCTGCATCAATTTTGCCGTGCCCAGAGCCCACCAGTTTCATGCTCCCGGGGGCCGGGCACAACAAGGACGAGGACACGGTGGGGCCAAGGCTCAGCTCGGGGCACGGAAGCCTGACCCAAAGGCAGGCAGTGGGAGAAAAAACCAACCCATTCACTTTCCAAAAGCTTTCGCTCAGGTCCTGGGCTCCTGCCACCCGAGCTGGGACTCAGCCCTGCCAGCTGCCAGCAGCAATTCCCGCTCAGGTCTCCGTACGGGGAGATGAGCTTCCAGCTGCGACACGGCACCGCGGACGCCTCGGCAGAGTCCCTCTGAATACGTGAGCCTGAGCGCTTCAAATTTATGTCCCGAATCCCTGTGCGGATTAAAAGTAACTCTTCAGCTTTCCATCTGCACAAACGCCATGAAGGAGAGGAGGGGGTCAGTCAGCCAATTTATCTTTCAAATCGGGGATAAAAATTGACTTGTCATGGCAGAAAATTCTACCAAAGACTATTATTGTTGATTGATTCTTCTATGACAGAAGGTCAGAAAAGCAAGAGCAGATAGACACCAAAGATAATGAACCTCTCCCTACCAGCATTAAGCACAAATAAAATATGAGTCCCTGTAAACCGAATGTTACGTGAAGAATGGAACAAAAATTCCAACCTTTTCAGGGTGTCCTTCAAACCAAATTCACAAATACATCTAGTGACTGACCTAACGTCTCTACGTCTCTACCTACGTTCCTACCTTCTCCTAATACCTGAGTTCGCAATGCAACACATTCACTTTACCCTGTTTAAAAAATACAAGTCATTAGAGGACTTGGTGCAGAAGATATTAAGAATGACTGTCGAGTGAGCGAGGTTCTGGGTCGGTGTATTAGCTCCTTCCTTACTCGTCCATTTAGTAAGGCTTTTCTACTCCCTACGACAAACGGGTCACTTGTTAACGGATGCTGCCGCCAACCAACCTTTGTAAAATTTGCTTTACACAACAGAAAGCAGAGCATTCTTGTCCATTCGTCATCATCGACGACTTTGGGGTTTTTGGTGGTGGCGGCACAGCATTGGTCTTGGGAGTCTATTTTGGATAAACACGGAAAATCTAACAGATTTTTTTTGTTGGGTATTTGGAATCAGACGACCGCTTTTATGTACACTAATTTAAACAAACTCTTATTCATCAACAGATTATAATAATCCAGTAACTGTAGAATAAAATTACTCCTATGCAATTTTAACAATTCCTTGAGTGTATAAAACAGCAAGCCAGAAGATAACCCGTAATAAAAAGATCATATTAAGCTATTTGGAAATTAAACTCAAAAGCTGAGAAATACTTTCTAACTTACAAACAGACACACTAAAATCTTCCCGTTTACACTTGAGGTATAGGCTGTATGCGAGGGCTTTCCTGAGAAACACGCGCTTGTCTCATTGTACGGTCGGAAAGTAAACGAGATTGACGGAACCACCTTGGGTTGTGAAGCTCCATCAAGCCGAAGCGCTGCCGGGCCCAGCAGCTGTTACCCGTAACATCCTATTTAAATAATGAAAAATGAGCAGCTACTGGACTTTCGGAAAAGGGAAACCGTCAAGCTGGAAGATGCCCAAGCGGGACTGCGGAGGCGGCGATGCCACCGCGGGTCCGCGGTCAGCCAGCAGCGGGTCTCCGAGGAGAGGTCTGACCACAGCGGTCAGCACCCGGGACGTGGCACAGCTGTGGACTAACCCAGAGCTGTGCCCGGGCGGTGGGTCACAGCGTCTCTCGGGCTGCAACTGCGGGCAGGAGCGCCCGCTGGGTGAAGGGGAAGGAAAGACGACTTTGGGAAATGAGATTTTCCTCCTGTTCACCATCACATTCATCTCACAGCAGCTCCAGTACCTCTGAGCAGTACCCATTTCGTGCCACACCGCCGTCACCAGGACAAGACCAAAAGGTAGCAACTGGTCCCTCCTACCCTGAAGAAACAGAATTTGTTTCCCAAAACAATTTTAAAACAGCATTCGAACATTTGTTGATGAACCTTCTTGCTACACAAACATCAGATTCCTATCTAAGGGCACAGGGAAGGGAACCCAGCCAGGGCGACACGGCTGCCTAGGAGAGCAACTGAGCCTTCAAACGTGAATTCTTAATGAAGGAGATGAGAACAAGAACATCTCATCCAACCTCCCCACCACCACCACGAGCAGGAAGCCATGAGGTTACTCAAGAGAATTCCCAAGTTTAGATCAACACCAGCACGTAGCAATTCCTCAGACAGCTAACCAGTTACCATTAAACCCGTTCTCCATACAGTGGAGTGGCGTGGAGGTTGCAAGATGGAAAATCCAAGCCTTGCAACACCTAGGACAGAGCAGTTCACCAAGTACTGCATTAATACTGTTTTTCCTGGTAAGAAGGGATTCCACAAGCAGCAGAACAGTCCTGGCAGGACACAACTATGGATCACGCGTTCCCCGAATCCAGCAGAGAAAGGTATGCCAGAGGACACTGAGTCCCTCACCCCATTACACAGGTCACGTTTAATCACAGGGTACGTTAACTGTGCCCAGAAACGGGCTGCTTGGCATTGCTGCAATGCAGAAGCCTCCTCCGCAGCCAGATACCGCCTTGGGAGGAACACGCTAAAAGAGGCAATCCTGCCTCTTCTCTAAGTAGGTTTTTCCTGCTTTTGTGAACCTAAAATGGATGTTAAGGAAGCGATGAGAAATTACTCGCGGTTCTCCAGCAAGATGAGTCCCTTTGCGTAACGCCAGGAACCCGCCGCAACGCAGCAACGCCATTTCGGTGGAATGGGAAGGTGCAGCGACGGCGAGGGGCCCGCTGGCACGGCTGGGGCTGGGGGCATAGCCCGCGCCCGCAGCGCCCAGGAGGGGTCGGGGCAGCGAGACCCTCGCGCCGCGCGGACCCTGCGGTCCCGCTGGGGCAGGACTCGAGGAAACCGCGGGAGCTACCACCTGCATCCGAAAACTGCTAGCGGAAAATAAACCGACTGCCTAGACAGACTCTTCCTCCTTCTCCACCCCTTGCCTTTTTGGAATTATTATTACATTTAAAGACAAAAAGCTTGGCACTTCTCTAACCCCCACTTCTCCAAAACCGTCCATTTGGGATACTAACAGCTCTGTCGAGGCGGTGAGGCCGTTTGCTCTCTACGACAAACGCTTTTGGATACAAATCATGGAAAGAGCAGTGTGCGAACAGCATCTTCTCCTTGAGGTAGTCTTAGTCATCTCGGTCCCCAGCCCCCAAAATACAAAAGAACTAACCCTAACAAACACCCTAACATTAAACATCTTCACATTCTGTAAACCGCTGGAGAATGCATCTGCTGCATTCATACAGAACCATGTGCATCGTGTTGAAGATCATACATTCAACTCTGTCGTGAAATAAATATATAGGAAAAAGAGTAAAAAAAAACAAAAAACAAAACAAAAAAGATTCTTGCTACAATGGCAGGGACGCCCGCTGCCCCGTCTCCTGCCCGGGTCGCGTTTGCCCCTCTGCCGGGGTGAGCCAGCTCCCTGCCTGAGGCACAGCGTAAGGCACCGGCCGGGGTTGAAGATCATACATTCAACTCTGTCGTGAAATAAATATATAGGAAAAAGAGTAAAAAAAAACAAAAAACAAAACAAAAAAGATTCTTGCTACAATGGCAGGGACGCCCGCTGCCCCGTCTCCTGCCCGGGTCGCGTTTGCCCCTCTGCCGGGGTGAGCCAGCTCCCTGCCTGAGGCACAGCGTAAGGCACCGGCCGGGGCGCGCGGGGCTCACTCTTTGCTCACGCTCGTCTTTCAGGAAGGGCGGACGG